CTTTTACAAGTCAACGTAGACGTTATTACTTCATTAGTAAAATCATTACACGACGTCCCTGTGGGTCAACTTATCAAGTTGAAGTTATACATTTATAACTTTTTAATGTTAAAGGTTCATCGACTGATCTTTACTATTGTTTTGTCTGATCATCATCGCGTTCATCAATCTATTAACTCCCTGATGTTGCGAAGATTGTTTATTTACTTCCGGCTTTGTTTTGTTTTATATGGGTCGACAATTATTGTAGATTACAAGGACAATTCACCCTAAATTTACGAGCCGGTCAAAAAGAAGTCACACTTTAAGTTTCTCGGCCTCCGCCCTCTCGCGACTGGCAACGTGGGCACTTCCTTCCTGAAACCAAACAGGGTAGCTCTAAGGAGACTGCGCGGAGTAGGGGTGGCCGGGGAGCGGAGTTATGTAGGTGACCCACCTCCTGGAGTAGCTGCGGTCTTCGTCGGCGCGTCTCCGTAGCCTGTAGCCCTGGTCGTGATGAGAAACATAAAAGAAGTGTAGAAAATTTCAGATGAATTTGGCTGTTATATAAAAGTTAACGGTTTGGATGATCAGTTCTCACGTCTTGACCTGTATCCTCTTCATAAATAATATGTAAATTGTACGTAGTTCGATTGCCGTTTCTGTTTTTTTCCATGAGTTCTTCCTTTCCTCTTCAGATAACGAGTCGGCAGCACAGCACACTTTTTTACGTTTTTGTGCACTCTGAGTCCTATAACGATACTCCTGGGGACGAGACAAATAAGACCTAAGCCGACTGTCGTCAGTCCGCCGTGTGTTTTACAGTCGCCCGAAGTCGAACCAGTGTACTCGGGTGACAAGGTCATCTAGAGGTCGGTGAATCGTCGATTTTGCGGTTAGTGTACGTGTCGCACAAAACGCAAGACAGACAGCTCTCTTTTTCTGACAGACAGCAACGCACACCACACACCGAGAATTCTGGAGTCCGTGACTAACCACTGTGCGCTTAGAAGACATTCGCTACTTTCGACAGACGAGAGACTACCAGGGTGACCCAAAGGAAATGATTGACCACGTGAAAATAGCCGGACGCACGGGTACGTCGACGACAGCAGATAACTATAAATTTATTGTCGAAGACCTTGACTGAAAATAACAGGTAATAGTAAGGGAAAAATGAATTTGTTGAATAATAGGTATACAAGTAATTGAATTGGTAAATAGTAGACTACTTCAGGGTAGGATTTCGACAGGTGTATGCACACAAGGAGTGTGACCACGCAGCATAGAGGGGATGACCCTCGGTGTCCTTGCCGACCATGAAGACCGGTGCCTCCACTGCGTAACAAACTGATGCGATAACTTTTGCACCTCGTCTTGTCGGACAGACTGATAATTTCCATTTACAACCAGTGAGTAGGACTTTTTAGACAGATAGAGCTGAGCTCTGAATTCATCGTGAAAATTTGGTTCAGGAAGTCACATCAAAAAAAAAAAAGAATCTATTAGATAAGAATCATCGTCACATAAATTGACCGTATTTGAAAGGGTTAAACGAGTTTATTGTGATGTCCCTTAGTCACTTACGCTTTTCAATCTCATCGTATTATTATTCGTGTTTTTCTCGCAAGACGTTATAGATAAATGTCAAAAGATTGTAATCGGTGGTTGTGATTTACCAATATTGTTTGGTTCGCTTACAAACGTCGACAACAAAAATTGACGTGTGACAGAGAATCATACTATTTCCGTGCAAATCGACTATTAGATTAAAGATAGTTAAATAAAACACACCTTGTCGGACTTAAATGCACAATCTGAAAAAGAGGTTGAGATAGTGATAACGATTTGTAGCAATGTACATCGATTGTTGAATGGGAGTAGACACAATGGGAAGGATCCAGTTTCAGGCAGTCTTCTGAAATGACTACCTGCGGCTTTCGTTTCGTCTTTATCACATGCTGAAGACGGTACAGCGTGGAGTCTTTCTTACCCAGATGTGAATTAAAGAAAGACACAAGACCAAGAAGAAAAAACAAAAAGTCGACTTATATCTGGCAAAACACAAGTTGACTTTGAAGCAGTCAGAAGAAATGCAATGCGTGTGTGGTCCTTTACGGCCTTTTTTGAGTAATGAAAATGGCAGGAGCAGCTAGTGAGACAGGCT